TTTCGCCCGACCAGACCGATGTCACTATTTCGCCCTGCCATGTCGATGTCACTATTTCCCCCGGGCAGGCCGACGTCACTATTTCGCCCGGCCAGGCCGACGTCACTATTTCGCACGGCCAGGCCGACGTCACTATTTCACCCAGGCTGACATCACTATTTCGCCCGGCCAAGCCGACGTCACTATTTCGGCCGACGTGGAGCCACAGCTCCGACCAGGTTGACGTTACTATTTTCCCCTGCCAGGCCGACGTCACTATTTCGCCCGGCCAGGCCGACGTCACTATTTCGCCCGGCCAGGCCGACATCACTATTTCACCCGGCCAAGCCGACGTCACTATTTTTCCTAGCAAGGCCGATGTCACTATTTCGCTTAGCCAGACTGACGTCATTATTTCTCCTGGGCCAGGCCGACGTCACTATTTCGCCCGCCGTGGAGCCACAGCTCCGACCAGACAGACATCACTATTTCGCCCAGCCAGGCCAACGTCACAATTTCGCCCACAGTGGAGCCACAGCTCCGACCACGCGGACATTACTATTTCGCCCAACTAGGCTGACGTCACTATTTTGCCCGGCCAGGCCGATGTCACTATTTCGCCCGGCCATGCCGATGTCACTATTTCCCCCGGGCAGGCCGACGTCACTATTTCGCCTGGCCAGGCCGACGTCACTATTTCGCACGGCCAGGCTACGTCACTATTTTGTCCGGCGAGACCGACATCACTATTTCGCCCGGCCAGGCCGACGACGTCACTATTTCGGCCGCCGTGGAGCCACAGCACCGACCAGGTTGACGTAACTATTTCGCTCGGTTAGGCCGACGTCACTATTTCGCCCGTCGTGGAACCACAGCTATGACCAGGCTGACATCATTATTTCGCCCGGATAGGCCGACGTAACTATTTCGCCCGGCATTGAGCCACAGCTCCGGCCATGCCGCCGTCACCATTTCGCTAGTCGTGGAGCCATAACTCCGACTAGGTTGACATCACTATTTCGCCCGCCGTGGAGCCACAACTCCGTCCAGGCAGACTATACTATTTCGCTCGGCTAGACTGACGTCACCATTTCGCCAGCCGTGGAGCAACAGCTCCGACCAAGCTGACATCAATATTTCGCCCGATTTGGTCGACGCCACTATTTTGCTCGACTAGGCCGACGTCACTATTTCGCCCGGCCAGGCCGATCTCACTTTTCTCCTGGCCAGGCCGACGTCACTATTTCGTCTGGCCAGGCCGACGTTACTATTTCACCCGGCCAGGCGGACGTCACTATTTTCCCGGCCAGGCCGACATCACTATTTCTCCCAGCTAGGCCGACGTCACTATTTCGCTCGGCTAGGTCGATGCCACTATTTCGCCCGGCCAGGCAGACGTCACTATTTTGCCCAGCCAAGCAAACGTCACTATTTCGCCCGACCAGACCGACGTCACTATATCGCCCAGCTAGGCCGACGTCACTATTTTGCCCGGCCAGCCCAATGTCAATATTATGCCCAGCCAGGCCGAAGTCACTATTTTGCCCAGCCTGACCGACGTTACTATTTCGCCCGGCCAGGCCGACGTCACTATTTCGCCTGGTTAGGCCGGCGTCACTATTTCGCCCGGCCTGGTCGACATCACTATTTCGCTTGGCCAGGCCGATGTTACTATTTCGCTCGTCCAGAATGACGTCACTATATCGCACAGCCAGGTCGACGTCACTATTTCGCACGGCTAGGCCGACGTCACTATTTCGCCCAGCCAGGCCGACGTCACTATTTCGCCCGGCCAGGACGACATCATAATTTCACCCGGCCAGGCCGACGTCACTATTTTCCCCGGCCAGGCCGATGTCAATATTTCGCCCGGCCAGGCCGACGTCACTATTTCGCCCGCCGTGGAACCACAGCTCTGACCAAGCTGAC